GCCTTGGCAACCTGCCATAATTTACAAATTATGAATTCTGCTCGCTACCAGAAAATCCTGAAGAAGGATGTCCAGCTATCAGCCCAAGCACAATTGGGTTATGCAGGAAGAGTGCACAAGGAGTGATGGATAATAAAAAAATGATCCTTTATGCATGTGGACCATCTAGAATGGTTGAATGAAAGAGTTCCACGGGTTCTATTAGCCTTAGATCTTTTAATTCATTCTTCAGTCTTTTTTTATCGGAGATGAGTGGAGGTTCTTTAAGAAGAGAAGTTGTCTCTAGATCATCCTGAAGGATTTTGAAATGATTGAGTATACTAGTCATTACTGTACTGGGATGACAAGTAAAGACCCAATGCAATTCTCTCTGTCCTAGCAGTGGAATGTGTACAAGTCGGCGCATCCATTGTCTCAGTAGTGCTAACACGAGCCATCTTGAACATTCTTAACACTTTGGAATCTTTGCTAAATCATATTTGAATTTTTGCTAAATCTTCATGTTAAGGCGTCAGGCAACATGTAGCTCTGCATATTGAAACAATGTCATAGAAAAGGCCATTCCTTTCATCCATGTCCACCTCCTAACCATCCATGTACAAATCTGAGACACTGTTGCTATGGAAACAAACTGCCTTTGAAGCTATGACCGCACCTGGGAGGAAGAAGAGAGGGAAACTCATGGTGACAGTTATTATTCTTCACTGGTATACCGTCTTAGTAGGAGAAAAAAAAGGTAGGGGGCTGGGAAAGGGAGGAAGGGAAAAGGAAAAGGAAGTAGTAAGAAATAAATGAAAGAAAGTTAATCGTTCAGAGACATCTAGCTTGAGACTCTATGTGAAATGAGATGGGAGATGAGGCTGCTCAGTAAAAATAAAGGATAAAGACTGGTCATCATCTACTGTAACACACTGAGTTTGTTTTTATAGACACTGCATACACACACATATACCCACATGATGTAGTTAACCTCTACACACAGTATATAACGTAAGGGGAAATAAGTATTTAGACACTTCTGTTTTTGTTCAAAACTAAATCTACGTGGGTTGTGCTTCAGAGTTGCCAAGTCTGCTTATAATGTGTGACTTTGGCCGCCTTTTTTTCTGAAGTCAGTTGAAAAAAAAATCACTGGTCATGGGTTGTGGTTTTTTGGACATGTTTTTAAAAAATGATTGTGTTACGACTTAGGTTGGGCCGCAAGATACAAAAAAAAAAGGGTTGGCAAGACCAGGATTGCGTTTGCTTTGTTTTTATTCTCACCTTTTTTTATATTATATAAACATAAAGTGTACCACTCGAGTCTGCCTCGGGATGGAGACTGACGAGGCTTAAGTACACCTCCGGAAACATGCAGCCAACCAATCCTATCACACAAGGCCGGAGCAGGCGTGAACAAGATGCGATCATCCTGTAGCAAGCCGGAACGTGACACAAACAGTAGGCGGGGCCTAAAGAAGGGGGAGGAGACAAAAGAAACCCATCCCACCACCGACATAAACAAATGGCACATAAAGTAAACAGAAACAAACTGTAGAACGCAACACCCTGTACTGTCATTGGTTGTTTCACGCATGTGTGCCATCATTGTTTTCAGCTGTCTTGTGTTTCACCCCTGATTACGTTTGTCATTTAAACCCCTCATGTCTCTTTGTACTTTGCTGTAGTATTGAGTGTTATCTCCTTACCAAGCAGTTGTTTCTTGTTTCTCATTTTGATTCATGTTTGTTGACCTCGTTTCTCATTTCTGATTCTAGTCTTGCCCAGTTTATGCCTGTTTGTAGATCACCTGACCCATTGCCTGTTATTTCGACCACGCTATTGTCTCATGATTTGGATATGTCTGCCTACCTCTCTCAAATAAAAGTCTTTCACTGCACTTGCATCCGTCCTAACCTCCATTACGTAGAAAACGTGACAATAAGTTGTTGGACATTGTTGTTATCCTCTTTGTGGTAGACAATGATGAAAGAGTTTCTGCAGCCTTCTTCAACATCTTTCTCTGCAGCAAGCTGCAGTAAGGCATACATCTCACATATGTTGTGTAGCGCTCTATATCCTCTAAAGTATCTAAAGAGACATTGCTGGATATTGATTCATAGGTTTTGAAACTATCTCTAACTGGTCCTTGTGGGACTCGAGCTGCTGCTCTAGAGTCAGAGTGGTGGGGTATGAATGTAGGACCTGAGGGCAATATGCGTTGATGTCATGTGAAGCTAAAGTGAGTGGAGGAGCAGAGTAACGGGAGGCGATGCGGTTAATGATCACAACCCATGATGGCTGCTCTACTTCACTCTCGGTCTGGAAGTAGAAGATTCTGGTGTCTGCGGTCCTGAGGCTCAGCACATGAGGCCTCTTTCTGTAATCTATAGGGTATGCCAAGGCATCATGCAGTCTAATGGCATTCATGTTGTCTGTCTTGCAAAATTTAGATTTGTCTGCAGGATGCAGGACTATGCCTTTTAGAACTGCAGTAAACGGTTTCCAACTCTCTGGCCTCTTTTGGTTCATCTCCCATTCTCGTTCAGAACTCTTTTGCGGATATCCTTTTTTTTTGTAGATAGTGGTGATAGGGTTGTTTTTAGTCCCAAATGATGAGTCACAGCCAGAATGTTCTGGTTTCGATATTTCCTTTTCGTCTATTACTCTGAACATTTTTAGCAGCCTTCTTTTGATTGATTTATACATGTCTATCCATTGTTTCAGAAAATACTGTGAGAAGCAATTCACTCTTTTCACATCCGCTATAAATTAACATTCAACAATGGTCCCCGGCTACTTTAATAAGTTCTTATCTAGGTAATATTTGTTGTTCCCTTAAAACAGATCCATCCACAAGAGCGTTATTTCAGAGAAACTCTGTGTCTTTGCCTTACATTTACTCATATTGGAATCGTCTGACAGACAATATTGTTTGGGAAAAGCTTTCGCTTATATCTAATCAATATTTAATTTCAAACGAAGTCAAAGAGATATCATTTAAAATGATACATAGGATTTACCCAGTGAAATGATCTTGATTTGAATTGCACTTTTTGTGACAGTTGTCCTGAAACTGTGGTGCATTTGTTTTGGCACTGCCGATTTGTAAGACCATTTTGTCCAAATGTTTGTGATTTTATTACAAAGAGTATTGACGGCCAATTTATGTTGCTATGGAAACATTTATGATTTGGTCTTTTGGAGAACTGTAGAGATGACTGCAGACAGGTTTATATAATAGCTTCCATTTTATTTTTTTTATTGGCAAAATTCCATATTCACAAATATAACTTTTCCTGTAAACAAAAACCCCAAAAAACAACAACAACAACCCTGTGTTATATCTTTCAAGAAAGAAACGGAGCATTATTTAAACTCGATATGATTCTCTATGAAGCAAAAAGCAGTTCAAACTTTGAAAATCTGTCAACTTTTCAATATCTTTATGTAGATCTACATTAAGTCGATTCTAGTGTGAAATTGTTTGTTACATCTATGATTCTTGTATTTTCAAATATCTGTAAAAAAAATGGTCTTTTAATCAAAAAATCAAATAAAAAAGAGCAAAAAATAATAATAAACAATCGGTTACAGTGCAATGTCCAGTGAAAACTTCAAGTTCATTTGTCCGTATTCAGAGAGGGATGAAGTTTATTATCATTTCGTCAGTGACTTCAGAAAAACATTCAAATCAATTCAAACGATGCAGACTGGTGAGATCAGCTGTGTGCATGCAGCAGCTCAGTATAAAATCTTCTGTATTTCGATTGGAGACATTAATCAGGTCATTATCGAAATGAGACAATACTCGGTTTAATCTCTTATTTTAAAATTGTGACACAAAATAAAGTCACCAAACTGTAATTTCCCTTGTTGCTGGTGTGGAACCACATAACGGTAGCCTTCATCTTTTGTAGCTTTAGTATGTTTAACCTGGAAACAGGAATATGGTACAGCTTTAAAATTACACGTAAAAAAAAATCATTATGAAATAAAAAATATTTGATCATATAATAAGGAAAAACGCACATGAGGTGAGCTGAAGGGAGTGCAACAGAGTTCAATTCGATTGAGATTTACATTTCTGTACATACAGTATTATTAGAGGATATTAGTTTGTTGTTTTGTTTAAATACAAGTCAAAGTACATTTACAAATCACTCCCCTTTTTTTATTAGCATTTTCCATGCTGTCCCAACTTTTTTCGGAATTGGGGTTGTATTATTTTGGCTGGGGGGTCTAGGGCAGCCCATAGAACCATGTGGTAAAAAGATGTGAAATTTGGCACACAGCTTCAGGACACATTCAACTAGAAATACACTAAATCTGGGCCCAAAGCTCCCAAAGTTCTACTGCCACTAGCTATATTCTACTCTTCACTTATGAGTAACAATAAATGAATGTGTCTCTTCTCAGGGTTTGAAATTCTGACCCATGATGCAACTTCCTTCTTACTTAGATCTCCATACAGGAAAAGAGTCCCATGAAAATAACTTTTGAATAACCCAAAACAACATGTGCATGTAACGCATTCAGCAAAGATTTGCACACACCGTATAGGCTAGTTAGATCTGTATTCAGAATTCATGTAATCAGTTCATCTGTGTGCAAGTGTCACATGAACTCAGTATAAATACACCAGTTCCTACAGCATCATGGAGACCAAAGAGCTACCAAAAACATCCGGGTGAGTTGCAAATGAGCTTTCTTTACAGAAATCCATGGTTCCAGTTAATCTGATTATATACAGGTGTGCATTCAAAATTGAATGGTCTCACCCATGAAGCAATTTCCTCATTAAGATGTTGTGCTGAGCTAACTGGCCAGTGAGGCTATGTTGAAAATATCCATGGCTTTATGAGACAGATTTGAGCCATATGAAATCCTATTTGGACTTTGGGAAAAGGGATGCTACAAACTCACCAAACATGGAAAGAGGTTCCCAACAGCCAGTCATTTTCTCTGGCTTGCTGTAGGAAATCAGTTACAGACAGCACATCATGGTGGATAACTTTAGTTGGCCAGTATGGGGATTGAACCCATGACCTTGGCGTTATTAGCACCATGCTCAGCTAACCAACTGAGCTAACTGGCCTAGATGCTGGCCTAGATGCTTAGGTGGAAAATGTCCCTGGGTGGAACCATGACAAGTACAATTAGACTTGATTTTTACAAATAAGATTTAAAAAAAAAAAAAAAAAAAAAAACTTTTAGATCTCCATACAGGAACAGAGCATTTCAGAAACACTGTAATTCATCAAAATCCAATAAAAGTAACCTCAGAATATCCTTAAAGAACATGTGTATGTAATGCAATCAGCAAAAATGAGTACATACTCACATAAGTAGTCAGTCCAAACAAGATTTCACAGTTTTTCTTGTGATGTACGTGTGTGACACTTTACCTGTGTGCCTTTAACTTTGCCTAGACGAGACCATTCACCAAATTCAGGGTAAGGACAACCAGGTAAGGAGGACATTAGTCAGGGAAGCAAACAAGCATTAAAGTGTAATTCTCAAGCAGCTTGAGAGGTTTACAACTCAGATTAGAGACGCTGGACAACCATAGCCTGGACACTCCACATAGCTGGGCTTTATGAGAGATTAGTGAGCCATATGAAATCTCACTTGGAGTTTGGAAAAAGGGATGCTGGAACCTCACCAAACATGGAAAAAGGTTCTCATGTTGAATGAAACCAAAGACCCTTAGTACAAAGCACTACATTTAGTGGAAACCATCACTGATGCTCAACCTGAGAACACCATTCACACAGTGACGCATGGTGGTGGTGGAATCATGTTGTGAGGATGCTTTTCATCAGCGGAGACTTGGAAACTGGTCAGAGTTTAGGGGAAAATGGAGAAGAAGCATACTGGCAAAGCCAGTTTGAATGTTTTAGAATGTCCCAATAAATGCTCAGACCTCAAACCAATTGAGAATCTATGGCACATTTTGAAAATGGAGGTTCAGGTTACATCAAGTTCAATTGCAGCTTGCAAATGTAAAGGGCTGCAGTGGTTTTCAGTCAAGGAAATCTTCTTAATATCCTATACAACAGCCAGTCATTTTCTCTGGCTCAGTTACAGACAGACAGCACATCATGGTGGATAACTTTAGTTGGCCGGTATGGGGATTGAACCCATGACCTTGGCGTTATTAGCACCAATAGCACCAATTACATCAATAGAACTAAGCAAATACAAAACAAAATGAAACAAAAAAACACAAGTCCTCACTCCTCCGTCCCCTTTAAAAAGAGAAAATAAATGAATCAACCATTTTATTCCCTTCTTCACAGTTAAATCAGATGCATTTATGACAAAGAACTGCACAGATGCAGATGTCACGGCTGGTGATTTGAGCGGGGTTGACTGCTGGAAGTCAAACATGTCGTATTTAAGTCTATGTTCTCCATGTTCCACAGTTGTTTGATACATTGCTATTAAACACATTCGGACAGATTTGAAGAGCTAGTTTTATTCTCAATTCTTATCGTTTTGTTTATGAGGCATCAGAAATTCAGGCAAACTGGTACACCATCTTCTAACAGTAAAACTAATGATGTTTTCTAGCTGTAATGCTAACACGACAAGAAGCCAAGTACAACGTGGCAAGCACAACATCACACACGACACTGTTGTCAAAATTATTCATACATTCAAAAATACACTAAGTGTTGCAGACCAACAGAACAGTCGACATCCACGAACACCTGGTGCTGGCGTACATAGTCCCCTATGTATGGAGACTTTTGGGACACCCTGTATATTCAAAAACTACTGCTTTTACACTTCCCTAAACTGTATACTATATGTGATACCATATGTACAACATGAATGTAATACAGTAAATATGATATAAATGACTCCGGTTTCCTCCCCCAGTCCAAAGACATGCATGGTAGGCTGATTGGCGTGTCTAAAGTGTCCGTAGTGTATGAATGGGTGTGTGAGTGTGTGTGTGATTGTGCCCTGCGATGGACTGGCACCCTGTCCAGGGTGTACCCCGCCTCGTGCCCGATGCTCCCTGGCATAGGCTCCAGGTTCCCCCGTGACCCTGAAGAAGAAGTAAGCGGTAGAAGATGGGTGGATGGATGACATAAATGTAATCTATCTAATACCAATTATTATTATTATTTCTCAATGAAATATTTGGGGAAGGGAGGGGAGAAAAGGTAAATGAATCACATGAATATGAATCACATGGAAATGAATTACATGTAAAAGAATCACATGCATGAATATGAATCGCATGAAAATTAATTACATGTAAATGAATCACATGCATGAATATGAATCACATGAAAATGCATCATATGTAAATGAATCACATGAAAATTAATAATTACATGTAAATGAATCACATGCATGAATATGAATCACATGAAAATGAATCATATGTAAATGAATCACATGTAAATGAATCATATGAAAATGAATAAATAAATGCTTAAAAAAATGTAATCTTCACTGTTAAATGCCATTACAGAAGAGTTATTCTAACTGCTTTGAATAAATGTCCTAGGCCAAAATCAATGCACGTTTTAATTGCTGTATTGCTAAGCAGTTTAGGTTGAATTATCTTGAAAATAACACACTACTGAGTTACCTCCACAAAATCAATATCTTCATTACATGAACATTTCTTTCTTTCTTTTGTGTATGTGTGAACACACCTATATGAAATGTGAACATGTTTTCAAATGATGCATTTTTTAAGCTCATTTGTGTAGTGGCACCCATGGAAACTTTATGAATGTGCATCTAAACATTCATAACTTCCTTATGAATGTGACTGTGTTGGACAATTTGGGATCATGTCATTGTGTTGCCCATCTGCAGAAAAGATGATCTTTCTACCATGATATTGACTTCGACGTCGCGAATTTGCACGAGTATTGCTAGTGAAGTAATGGGGAGGGGGAGGGGGGAGGGGGAGTTTGCTAAATGTTGTTTTTTGAATATTAGAATAGAATATGCTCACTCAGTGACGCCTTTTTTTTTTCTTGTCCAACTCATAACTCGCCTGCGATCGGATACTTTCAGCAGACCTCGCATCTCTTAAGCAGATTTTCACATTTCTGAACATCTCTATTCACCTTTTGAACATCTTTACCATTAATCTGAGCATTTTCCTGCACGAATATCGTCTTCTGAAGAAATGGTAAGCTTTGAGCAGACACAGTAGTGTTATGAATAAAAACCGTTAAGCGAGTTTGAAACGTCGTTTTGTAAAAAAAAAAAACAAAAACAACTTAACAGTAACTAGTCATATGTAGTTTTATTGTTAGGAAGGACAGGTGTTCTTGAAATATTCACTATCGCTGTGAACATTTCCGTTCTCTCCAAGAGGGGGAGACCAAGCCTTAGTCACGAAGACTGAACATAAACGAGACATCCTTGTAGTACACGAAGTCAAATATCTAGACCTGTGTAGAGTGAATCATTTCGGTGGTGACTGTGTACCATGTGAAAAGGTTTTCTCAACATATAGAGCTACTGAGTAAAGGAGATAAGGATTTTCCCCTCAGCATCCCAGCTTTTTAAATGACTGAATCACTCCAATATCATATCGTTCTCCTTTCTCATTAACATGAGGCCTAAGATGACTTGGATAAGCAGCCTGTTTATGTCTCTTAAGTCTAACCTACCCCTGTTTATTTCTTCCCTTCCAGCCACAGCCGTATTACACAGGTTTTAGGGATTCGCCCAACTCTGGACCGTGGGTTGAGGCTGGTGATGTCCAACACCTTGTCCCTGACACCCATGTGTACCCCCAGAAAGAGGACTTCACCTCTAGCACTCACGGCCAGGCGTATACCGGCCTGCCTGCCCAGGTATTAGACTGTTGTTGTTGTTGTTTTTTTTCTAATTGTAGGACTGTTTAAATTCAGAAATGATGTTTTCATAATTCTGTTGTTGTTGTTTTTTTTCTAATTGTAGGACTTTAAATTCAGAAATGATGTTTTCATAATTCTGTTGTTGTTGTTGTTTTTTCTAATTGTAGGACTGTTTAAATTCAGAAATGATGTTTTCATGTCAACATAGGATTTTCATTTAATAACATCATTATTTGTCTTTTCTCTCATTCTGTCTTACATCTCTACAATAAAGAGTTCTACTGAGGGAGTTAATAGAATGTTGTGTTCAGGTCTCTGAAGCCTAACCCAAACCCTGCTTGTTTCTTCTCCTCCAGCCAGAGCCATATTGCGCAAGTTGGGATTTGTCGAGTTCTGAACCGTGGGTTGAGGATGAGGACGTCCAGCACCTTGTCCCTGCGCCCCACGTGTACCACCAGGAACAGGACTTCACCCCTGTCAATCAGGGCCAGGCGTATTACAGCCTGCCCGCCCAGGTACATGTATAAGATCATTTTTCTTCTAATTGTAGGACTGTTTAATTCAGAAATTATGTTTTATGCCAATTTTGAATTTGCATGTAATAACAGAATTATTTATGTCTTTTCTCTCACCCTGTATTACATCCCTACAGTATAGAGTTCTACAGACTGATATAATTGATTGTTCTACTTAGGTTTCTAAAAACTAACCCAAACCCTGTTTGGTTCTTCCCCTCCAGCCAGAGCCGTATTACGCAAGTTTGGATTCGCCCAACTCTGGACCGTGGGTTGAGGCTGGTGACGTCCAACACGGTGTCTCTGCGCCTCAGGTGTACCAGCGGGAACAGGACGTCCCTCCCAGCACTCAGGGACAGGCGTATTACATCCTGCCTGCCCAGGTATAAGACTGTTTTTCTTTTATTGTAGGAATGTTTAAGTTCAGAAATTATGTTTTTATATGAATCTTGAATTCGGATTTAATAACAGAATTATTTATGTATTTTCTCTCATGGTGCATTACATCTACAGAGGAAGTTAATTGAATGTCGTGTTCAGGTCTCTAAAGCCTAAACCAAAACCCTGCTTGTTTCTTCCCCTCCTGCCACAGCCATATTATGCAAGTTGGGATCCGTCAAGCTCTGAACCGTGGGTTGAGGCTGAGGACGTCCAGCACCTTGTCCGTGCCCTCCACGTGTACCAGCAGGAACAGGACTTCACCCCCATTACTCAGGGACAGGTGTATTACATCCTGCCTGCTCAGGTACATGTATAAGACCGTTTTTGTTCTAATTGTAGATCTGTTTCATTTCAGAAATGTTTTTATTTCAATCATGAATTCGGATTTAATAACAGAATAATTCATCTCTTTTCTCTCATGGTGCATTACATCTACAGAGGAAGTTAATTGAATGTCTTGTTCAGGTCTCTAAAGCCTAACCCAAACCCTGTTTGATTCTTCCCCTCCAGCCAGAGCTGTATTACGGAAGTTTGGATTCGCCCAACTCTGAACCGTGGGTTGAGGCTGGTGATGTCCAACACGTTGCCTCTGCGCCCCACGTGTACCAGCAGGAACAGGACGTCCCCCCCAGCACTCAGGGCCAGGCGTATTACATCCTGCCTGCCCAGGTATAAGACTGTTTTTCTTCTAATTGTAGGAATGTTAAATTCAGAAATTATGTTTTCGGCCAATTTTGAATTTGCATTTAATAACAGAATTATTTATGTCTTTTCTCTCACCCTGTATTACATCCCTACAGAGTTCTACAGACTGATATAATTGATTGTTCTACTTAGGTTTCTAAAAACTAACCTAAACTCTGTTTGTTTCTTCCCCTCCAGCCAGAGCCGTATTACGCAAGTTTGGATTCGCCCAACTCTGGACCGTGGGTTGAGGCTGGTGACGGCCAACACGTTGCCAACACGACGCCCCACGTGTACCAGCAGGAACAGGACGTCCCCCCCAGCACTCAGGGACAGGCGTATTACATCCTGCCTGCCCAGGTATAAGATTGTTTTTCTTTTATTGTAGGAATGTTTAAGATCAGAAATTATGTTTTTATATGAATCTTGAATTCGCATTTAATAACAGAATTATTTAGGTTTCATTTTATTTTCGGAATTTAATTCAAAAAGTGGAACATTCATATATTCTAGATTTATTACACATAAAGTGAAATATTTCAAGCCGTTTTTTGTTTTAATGTTGACGATTACAGCTTGCGGCTCACGGAAATCAAAAATCCAGTATCTCAAAATATTCCAATAAAGAATTTATGATACAGAAATGTCGACGTTCTGAAAAGTACTGTATGTTAATTCATGCACTCAATACTTGGTACATATACTTATAGT